TGCTTGGCCTTGTCTGCTTATAATAAGTGTAAGAAATGATCACTTTGGAGCAAAGGGCTGGACAAAATGCCTTCTAGCCCCAGAAACCACACCGCAGCAGGTTTCCTTTCCACAGCAAGCTGCCCCGTACCCAGCCCGATGGTACCAGCATCCCTGCAGAACCAGCCTCACCCATCTCCCAGCGCCTGCCCCCCAAGGTAGAGTCCCTGGAGAGTCTCTACTTCACCCCCATCCCTGCTCGGGGTCAGGCTCCCCTGGAGAGCAGCCTGGACTCCCTGGGCGATGTCTTCCTGGACTCAGGCCGTAAGACCCGCTCTGCTCGTCGGCGCACCACACAAATCATCAACATCACCATGACCAAGGTCAGGCTGCTGGGAGGGGCTGCAGGACAGCAATGCCTACTTCCTCTCGAGCGCATCCTTCCACTGGGCCCTCAGTCAGGAGCAGGCAGGGATGATCAGCCAGTCCATGTGTTACAGATGGGAAAGCTGAGATCTTAAAAAGGGCAGTGACTTGCTGAGGGCCTCTTCCGTAGAAAAACGCAGGGTTGGAATTAGATCGCTGTCTCCCGACTCTAAGGCTAGTGTCCTTCCTGCGTGTAGCACTGATCCTGTGCAGGGTGAGGGGAGAGAATGTGGGCAAGTGGCAGCCCATCCTGTGCCTCCCAGCGCACCCCCGTGCAGCTGAGATGTGTTGTGGCCGCGCAGTAGACGGCCTGCCAGGCTGTGGGCTGGTACCTTTGTTTCTATATCTTTAGGGGGGTATTTGGAAGGAGGGGAGAGGTACCTTTGGTACAGCAGGGAGGACGTGTGGGTGGCTGCCCTCTGCTACCAAGAAGCTCGAGAAGGTAGAGAAGATGGTCAGTGCCCTAGGAAGGCTGGATTGAAGGACTGTGGAAGGAGCCTGACTATATAGGAGAAATGGGGTCCAGCACCAGCCCCATGACTTGCTAGCTGTATGATTTGGGGCTAGCCACTTCATTTCTTTGGACCTCACCTGTAAAATGGGCTGATAACACTCTTCCTTTCCCTCCTCAAAGCACTGTTAACTTAATGAAAAAATGGATAGAAAAGTCTTGACAATCTTAGCACCTTATGAGGGCTTCTGGCAACAAGGCCCATTTCTTGCAGACATGCAAGCCAAGGACCCTTGCAAAACAGTGTGGGAACACAGGCAGACATGCTGTGGGATCGGGGGATGTTGGGAGGGGAATGGAAGGCTGCTTTACGGTGTCAGAGCCAGCCCCACTGCAACAGATTCATTCTCTTTTCTAGAACCTAGATGTGGAGGAGCCAGACAGTGCCAACTCATCCTTCTATAGCACGCAGTCTGCCCCTGCTTCCCAGGCCGGCCTGCGGGCCACCTCCTCCACCCGGTCTCTAGCCCGCCTGGGCTCTCCTGATGATGGCAACTCGGCTCTGCTCAGCCTGCCTGGCTACCGGCCCACCACTCGCAGCTCTACTCGCCGCTCCCAGGCCGGGGTGTCCAGTGGGGCTCCTCCAGGTGAGGAGACTGCAGGGAGTTCTCATACCCAAAAATTAGACTGGAAGGTGAATCCTAGCCCAGTGAAGAGGCGAGCTTTTAAACATCAAGGCTGGCTTGCTTGCTGCCTTCCAGCCCCACCTGTCCTTCCTCCCTGCAGTCTCAGGGCCTTACCTGTCCATCTAGGGGCTGTGCTGGGGCACCCTCAGCCAGGGTGAACCAGGGATGCTCACACGAAGGGCCTGGGGTTCCCAGCACGATAGTGACACTGGGCTGGCGGGAGCCCTCATGCCCTTCTCACGTGATGATGGGCTGCTGGAAGGGCCAGGCCAGCCAGACTCTTGCTGGAGGCTCATATCCTTTGGGTTCCAGAGAGCCCCTGAGAATCCATTCCTGGCCCTCTATTCATTTCTCTTGGTGTTGGGCACCAAGCCTTGGCCGGTGAGTAAGGTGCAGTGGCAGCCTCTGCGTATGACCTCTTCTGACCTCTGCAGGCAGAGAGTGGAGGGCAAGCCACTGGGATAGCAAACGGTCTGTGTGCCTTACTCCTGCACCTGCAGCACTGAATCAGAGCAGGACTCTGGGGTGCTGGGCTTGAACTGAAGTTACAGGGTAGCTGGGAAGGGGTGGTGGCAGCAAAGGCTGGCATGACGCCAGGGCCCATGGGCAGCCTGCTGACTCCAGCCCCATTTGCTCCAACTCCCCTGCCCTCCACAGGAAGGAACAGCTTCTACGTGGACACTTGCCAGGATGAGCCTGAGCAGCTGGACGACTGGAACCGCATTGCAGAGTTGCAGCAGCGCAATCGAGTGTGCCCCCCACACTTGAAGACCTGCTATCCCCTGGAGTCCAGGGTGAGCCTTGGGGTCACTGCACTAGGCCTCCCACGCTGGCTCAGCCTCTCCTCCCTTGACATCCTGCCCTAGTGCCACTTGTTGATCTGGCCTAAGCGCTAACGCCCTGGGTCTCTGGCCTGCTGAGGAGCGTGACCTCCTCATGCTTCCATATGGAACAGCCTGGCAGGGAGGGAGCTTGGAAGTGAAGTACCTGTGGGTGGGCAGGAGCCTGGAGAGGAGTCTGCTGGGGACTGTTCTTCTCATGGCCCTTCGTCCAGGTGGAGGTAGAGAACAGGAAGGTGGCCCTTTTGAGGTAGGAGGGATATAGCTGCTCCACATGTCAGGTGAGGGAAGAGTTTTGGGGCAGTCCCACTTCCTGCTCCATCCTCCATACAGCTGGGGTCCACTGACTGCTTCTTCCACCCTGTGCAGCCTTCCCTGAGCCTGGCCACCATCACAGATGAGGAGATGAAAACCGGAGACCCCCAGGAGACCCTGCGCCGAGCCAGCATGCAGCCAACCCAGATAGCTGAGGGGACTGGCATCACCACCCGGCAGCAGCGCAAACGCATCTCCTTAGAGCCCCACCAGGGCCCTGGCACCCCTGAGGTAGGTGACATTGGCTCTTCTGTTTTGTCCTGTTTAGCACTGTGCCCAGGATCAAACACGAGCTGCTCTCCCTCTCTCTCTCCAAGGGCCTGATGCATGGTTGGGGGCTGGTGGGAAGGGAGGCCTCTGGCTCAGAGTTGGGGAGGGGAGCAGGTTGGACAAGTTGACTCAAGATCCACTCAACTCTGAGAGGCCAAGACACCTGGCTTGGGATGTGACATCTTCTTGCCACTGCCTAACTGTCCTCTTCCTCATAGTCCAAGAAGGCCACCAGCTGTTTCCCACGCCCTATGACTCCCCGGGACCGACATGAAGGGCGCAAACAGAGCACTACTGAGGCCCAGAAGAAAGCAGCTCCAGCTGCTAAACAGGTTAGGCTGGGGTTGGAGGGAGATGAGGCCCTGGTGGGGCCTTGCTGGCCGAGTGCTGGAGCAGCAGGCTCGCTGGGAGGCGGTGGTGGATTGCCCAGCGTGACAGACCTTCTCCTGCAGGCTGACCGGCGCCAGTCCATGGCCTTCAGCATCCTCAACACGCCCAAGAAGCTGGGGAACAGCCTTCTGCGGCGGGGGGCCTCAAAGAAGGCCCTGTCCAAGGCCTCCCCAAACACCCGCAGTGGAACCCGCCGCTCTCCGCGCATTGCCACCACCACAGCCAGCGCTGCCACTGCTGCCATTGTTGCCACCCCTCGAGCCAAGGGCAAGGTGGAGGCACTGCCAGGGAGGCGGGGAGGGAAACCAGATGAGAGCACGGGCACCCCCGGACTGCTCCACAGGGCAGCGTCCAAGGCAGGGCCAGCCAAGCTAGGCCGCTGGAGTTAAGGGGTTAAGAGGAGGTGGTCCCTGTCCTGGGTACCTGCTTATTAGAAGAGAAGATAGACAACCCCATTCCCACCAAGAACACCCAGAGCTTCTTAGGCACAGCCAACAACTGGTAACCTGATGCTGGGTATGTTGGGGCTCACAAAGGAGGGGATCCCAGTCAGGGCTGTGGGAGCAGGAGGAGGCTTTCCTGAGCCAGCCGGTGCAGGCTGGCATCACGAGTCTTATCTGGCCACGTGACTATGTCTCTGTCTCTTTCAGGCAAAGCACTAAAGGGCCAGTACCAGTGAATGGCCCCACCTGTGTCCCTGATGCTGATCTCACCTGGTCCTCCTCCTCCTCCTGTCCCTCTCAGTGCCTTCTCTCAGCTCCCAGGCCAACGGTGGCCAAACCCCTAGAGACAGTGATGACTGCCCACACCCTGGCCTGGTACCTGGACCTTCATCAGCGCCTTGTCAGAGCTGGCCCAGAAGGCCTGGAGCTTGGACAGTGTGGGCACTCTCCCTACCCTACCCTGCCTCCTGATTTTTTTCTTAGAGCAAAGTCACTTCACAACCAGATTTGAGGCTGGTTTTGAGTGGCTGGGTCCTTGGGCCCAGCCAGTCTTCCTGTCAGCCTCTGGATCTAGAAGGGACCATTGGAGGAGCAGGCCCTGGTTCCTGCTGCTCCTGGTGGCTGGGCCTACAGGGGCCCTTGCTCTTAATGTCCAGGACTGGGCATGACCTGGTGGAAGTACCTGCCTGCCAGAGGATGCTTTTTTCCAGGACAGATGGGCCCTATGTCTCAGGAGTGGGGTGGAGGGGACAGCCTTCAGTGGCAGCTCACACCCCATCCTCCCCAGACTTGTACTGGGGTGGGATTTGGAGTGATGGAAGGTTTTTAAGGGCTGGGGATGGATCTTTTCTAAATGTTATTACTTGTAAATAAAGTCTATTTTTTCTCCCTTGAGTGCTGAGCTGCTTTGATCTGTGTGGGAAGAGGAGGGAAATCTGGGCTCTTCGGAGAACCTACCTTGTCCCAGCGGAGTCTTCTGCATCTTCCCCAGGCTCCTCCCACATGCCATTTCGGGCCTCTGCTCCTGAGGAGCATTATGGGCTGGCTGTTTTGTCTTTTCAAGGGCGTGTGTTTCCCTGAACCTTATTTTGTCTTGAGCTTCTAAGTGGCAGACCCTCTCTTCCCATACTTCCTCCTGGGACAGGCGAAGTTCCTATGGGTGGACCTGAGGCCTAAATGAATGAGCAGATGTCACGATGACTCACTGAACAATCCTTTATGAAGACCCGTGTGGGCCCCACTGGGGATGACACAGATACAGTTGTGGATCAGAAACTGCCACTGCCCCCATCCCTTCCCTGGGGACAGTCCATTTAAGTGAAGGGGAAAAAAAGCCATAAATAACACGAGGTAAATGCAGAATGTGGCCAGAGCTGAAAGAGGGTGGCGTTTCAACCGGGCTTCAGAGTTCACCTGTTGGGATGGCGATGATGAGGGGACCGAATGAGCAGAAGCATAGGAGTTGTCTGGGAACGAGCGAGAATCCTTGTGGGCCACTGGAAAGTCATGTTGGAAATGTAGGGGGGCCCTGAGTGTGAGGCTGAGGCACTGAAGGTCTTGGTGGTTTCTGAGCAGCAGAGCAGTGTGAGGAGTAGGTAGGAAGTTAATGGGTGAGTGGAAAGAATGGCAGGCAGGAGGAAGCCTTACGGAGGTTATTATGATTTTCTAGGCAGATGGGGAGTCTGGTGAGAAGAGGAAACCAAAGCAGAAGAGGAGGGTGGGGCTGGGGGGTGGGACAAGCCGCCAGGATCTGTTCACCCTCCAGGCAGTAGCACCCAGGTGCTGGTCAGGGTCCAGCTGTCCTTGGCCCTGTGCTGTGGCCCGAGGGCAGGGCTCCTTGAGTTGGGGGCAAGATTGTCCTCAGCCCGGCCTGGGGAATTGAAGGCAGACAAGGATCAGGGCTAAAGAATGAAGGGACATTTGTCACTTTTTCCTCCAGGCCATACCTCCCCTGCCTGAGTCCCAAGTTCCTTTCTGTTTCTACCTCAGGCTGACCTTGGGGAATGCGAGGGGCGGGGCGTTAGCTTGGAGGCTGCTCTGGCAGAGCCCACCCTTTCCCCCCACACGGAGGAAGCAGCACTCCTGTCCCTGGGTTCCTCACCCAGAGCTGGGCCAGGACGATGTGACGCTGGGCAACCTGGTCAGGGTCCACGAACACGCAGGAGAAGTTGGTGCTACGCAGGGCAGGGCTCAGCTCCTTCAGCACCAAGGCCTTCCACAGCCTCGTGCTCGTGCTCCCATGCTCCCGCCTGGAGCACAGGGGAAGGGAAGGGAAGGGAAGGTCATGAGGGGGCCGCAGCAGGAGGCCTCCCTCCCACTGGCCTGGCTGCCGCAACCCTCACCTGGTGCTGCCCTCTCGCAGCCGGCCTGAGAGGTGCTCGATGAAGGAACCATTGCCAAGCCAGTAGAGGATGCTGAAATGCGGGAAGCGGCTACAGGCAGTACAGGACAAGGTCAGCGTTCCATCTAGGGACACACACGGCTGTCAGCCCTTCCATAGGGCAGGCCTCCCCTCTGCCATGCTCTGCCCTGCCCACCCTGCCAGCTCCCCACAGTCCCATACTGGCTAGGAGGGAAAGCCCATTAAGGGCAAGTGCAGCTGTCTGTAAGAAAGGCCCTAGGCCTGAGCACGGGAATGTGGAAGAGGGTCCTGTCCTTGATTCACATGAAGACTCCTGCCCTGTTTCTCAGGATGACCTCCTCTAGTGCCCGGCCTCTGTGACTCTAGCAGGCAGCCTAGAGGGCAGCACTAGCAGGCTGCTGCTCTTCCAAGATGGCCAGAGGGCAAGCAGCTCTGGGTGGAGAGGCTGGGCCTTGGAGTACACGGCCACCAAGGATCTGGAGGTCCTATGGCCATTCCTTATGTCAGAGTTCTCTCTGTCCTGAGCCCACACACATGATGCTGGGTTGAGGAGGGAGAATGGTGAGTGCCTGGCAGAAGAGGGGGTGGTGCTCAGGAGTCAACGGGATCCTTGGACCCTCTGTGCCCACAGCCCCACCCTCTGACCACTGTGCCCTCCTGGGCTCCCATCGTATTAATAGTTGCTCCTTACTCAGTGGCACTTCCACCACTGGCCAGGTCACCTCCAACGCTGGGCACTGCTTAGCTGCTGAGAGCACCGGGGGCCAGGAGGGGCAGGGGTCCTTTATGCTTCCAGATGAGGCAGTGGCAGCTGTGATGGTCTGAGGTACAGGTGTGGCTCTGACCAGGAGAGTGATGACACAGGCACACAGGAGCAGGACCCACAAAGGACCGGGGGCTGAGGAAAGGACAGTGACAGAGGCCAGCAGCTAACTCAGCTGCCTGGTAATGCTCAGCATCCTGGCTCACATCTGGAGACAGGTGCTGGCCGGTGAAGGATGTAGCCACAGCCCAGAGAATCAGACAGGGAGGAAGGGCCCCAAAGCCCCCACCCCTTAGCCCTTCTGAATGGAGCCAGAGCCTCGGCATCCAGACAGAGGCTTAAAGCAGGCTGGGTTAGGTGTTCACCTTAAGGTGAAGGTGCAGGGCTAGCCCATGGCTCCATTCTATTCACAGACACCATCCCTCCCCACCCATGCACAGCCCCAAGTCCCACCTGGTGTCCAGTTCTGTCTCATGGTCATGACGCATGTGTCAGGAACTGGTGAGCCTGGCTCTATTTATCCATGACAACATCCTCTTCTCTGGGGAGGGGCGGGGGTGGAGAATGGTAAAGCACTCCCACGTTTTCCCAGTAGCTGGCTTTCCTTCTTGTAAACTCCCCAGTCCCTCCACAAGTCTGAACTTGCAGGGGGCCGCCAGGCACTGCTGTTTACTCTGTCCTGTCCAAGCTGTCCTAGTGATAACTCCTAGAGGACAGGCACCCAGCATAGGCTGGAGCTCTTTCAACACTTAGAAACAAAGCTGGCGGATCATCTGGTGACCACCTTCCCCACCCCCGCTTACTGCCTTTAATATGACGGTTATCTAGCCCAATCTCAAACCTTCATTAAGCATGGAGAAACTGAGACCCAAAGAGGGGCCAGGAACTTACCTAGTGACAGAGAGAGACAACACTCTCTCCACTGCCAGAGCAGGGTCTGGGAAGGACGCCATGCCGGGAAATCCTTCTGGCAAAGTACTGTCCCCACCCTCACTTTCACTTTCATTCCAGCAGGTCAGAGCAGGCACTGAGCCAAGTAACACCTCTTCTTGAGCTCACAGTGACCAGGAAACTCCCTGTTACCTCCCAGGTTCCCTACTTCCCCAGGGTTACCTAGGCTGTGAACTAGTAAGAGTCTCTCACAGACCAATTCTTCTGACCCAGCCAGGAGTCAGAACTCTGGTATCTGCCTCCACACTTCAGAGCCAGGCCTTTTCCATACGAGCAGGCATCTGTTTCCTGCACATTTGCACTGATATTCAAGGGGACAACTTTCCTAGGCATTGGGGACCCCAAGCTGGATCATTTTGACCATTTCAGGCTGTGCCACACCAGCCCATCTGCACCCTGGCCTCTCTCAGGCTCCCCATTCCCCCCCAACCACTAGCCCCAAGGTTAGCAGCATCACCCCACACCCACTCATCACACCCACAAACACTTCCCTCATCCTAGCCCCTTTGGCCAGAGCTACACGTCTAGGTTCTCTAGTAGTTCTAGACTCCCCCCGCTTAGCTCCCAAGAAGTCCTGAAGAGCCCTCCTTTACAGAAGCTCCCTTTTGGGAGCTCCAAGGTTCAGTTTAGCTGTGCCTGGCCACACGTGTGCCGCGCCAGAGGGATACGCTGAGCGCACTTACCCCCTTGTCTGCAGGAACTCACAGCCAAGCCAGGCCAGAGGCCACAAGGTCCAGAGAGCTGGCCCTGAAAAAAGGGGAGGGCTCTTCCTGGGGAAGAGGCAGAGTGATTCAGCACAGCTCTAGCAGCAACAGAGGCTATCTAAGTATGTTCACTTGGTCACTGATGGGGCAAACGGAGCTGGGCTGTGGCAGGACTAGGACCAGGGTGGGAGTCACGTGAGGTACATAAGATGCAAAATCTAAGGAGGTGCTCGCTTTCAGGGTTGTGCAATCATCCGTGGAGGCAGAAAGATCAGGGCTGGGTGATCCAGTGCATGCGTGTATCAAGTGTGGACAGGAGCTGTGTGTCTGAGGTTTGTGATTCCTGTGATCAGGAGGGTGGGAGGGCTGGTGATACAGCCAGGGAGGCCAGGGGATGGAATTGGGTTTGCAGAAGGCAACAGAAACGTAGTTAGCTGTAACGTCAAGTTTTTTGTGGAAAAACCAGATTCGTATTGCTAATTTAGACATAGGAGACTAAAAGTCACCTCCTCTTCTCTAGGTGACTAGTTCACAGTTCCCTCCTCTACCTTCTGCCCCAGAGGCTCCTAGGCTGCAAAGATGCAGGGAGTCCTCCCCAGGAACACTACGTCTCCAGGAGTTAGGGCAGGAGGCAAGGCCGCCTGGAGTTTCTGAAAGACAGTCTAGTGGGTGACAGGTGGGAGATGACAGGGAGAGGGGACAGACTCTAGAGTATAAGCAAGACCAGAGTTGGGCCGTGAGGTCATGGGCCTCAGGACTGTTAAGTACAAAAAGGCAGCTTTGGACAGCCTGGTCTTGGCTTCTCACACAAGCCTGACGTGGGCGTTGGGGGAACAAAGGTGAAGGGAGGGGTAATCCCTGGGCCCTTTGGCCCGTCCCCATTCCCCTCTCAGGATGGGCCCACACGTGGCATGAGCAGTGGGGTACCATGGGAAGCCACAGCTGGTCAGGGCAGCTGAGGCTGAGAGTGGCCCTGAGGGCAGGTGGTGGCAGGGCACTGGCCTCAGGCAGTGAGACTACAGAGCCACCTCAGACTGTAAGGGGGCCTGCGGATGCCCCAGGGCTCCTTGGCCACAGGACAGGAGCCCGGCATCCCACCACTCCCAGGGATTTTAGAAGGGGAATAGTGGCAAGGCAGGGCCAACCACTGCCAAGCCTCAGATGCGGGTAAGCAAAGGCAAGACATCCCTGGGGACCCCAGACAAAGAGGAATTAAGAAGAAAAGCAAGATGGATGTTCAGCTTTCCAACCCAGCTCATGGAGCTTTATTCAGACGGCAGTGACAAGATCCTGCTTGGTTCTTGCTACCCTTGAAAAGGGCAGGCCCTGTTGGGCTATATTCCCTAGAAACCCAGTGCTGAAGGCCCACGTTTGCTCTTCCACTTTCTTCGAAATTCCTAGAACCCTTTCAGAACCCATACTCGCCTAGGCCTTATCCTTCTTCCCCTCCCCCGCCACTCCTGTTGTCAGGCTGAGGCAGGACCATTCACAAATGACAAAGCTCACAGAGGGACAGTCACTGGGCTGGGAATCCCCTGCCAGCCTCGAGGGGACATCATCTGACAACAAGGAGAAGTTGACATCTGTCACAGTCCTTCTGCCACACACACAAACGCACGCACGCACAAGCATACGCACTCTTACTCAGGCTTTCAGGAAGGAAGTGATGTGACAGAGCGACCTTTGGCACACGTCACCACTACTCCACTGAAGGATCCACGGAGGAATCAACTTGCACAGGGGCCCTCAATCATTGCTGCCAACAGGTGCCCCATGGCCCAACTATATATTTAATATAAATGGTCTCTATTCGTGGCTGACCACAGCCCCGCTCAATGGCAGCTTCTCCATGTGACTGATTCTTCCAGATGTCCCGAAACAAATCTTCGATAAATTCTGAGGCCCCATGACTTCCCTTGTTGCGAAAGTCCTGGATGAGGTTCCTCCACTTGCCTGAACCAGCCTATAGCTCCTGGACGGGGGAGACAGAGTCTGACATAATAACCTGTCCTGGGTCCCAGACAGCAGGGGAAGGAAGACACTTGGGCCCCCAGTGCTCACCTGCGGCACCAGCCTGAGCTTGTCAGCTCTTCCACACTGAGTGCACCAGGCTTGAGCCCCACAGAGGGAAGGAGAGGGGAGCGGGTGGGCTGAGGCTCTCAACTACCTGAGAACCCACAAGTGCTCTCAGCCAGAGGTAAGAAGGCTCCTTTATACCAAAAATGTCATGGCTCTGCTCCCACCCTGCTCAGGCGGGGGTAGTGAGACCCGGAAGGGGGCAATTCCTATGCTCCACAATAAAAAAGGTTTTTTAAATATATTCATCAAAATAGTTTTCTTTTAAAAAGCCCCCCACTGCTGACAGCCCCACTGGCTGGCTCTCCATCACATCCCACACCAGTCCGGACACAGCCAGAGGGGTCCTGAGAGGCCCAAGCGCCCCTTTGAGTCTTTCCCACCCAGGTCTTTGTGGGCAGGGAGGAGAGTGCCCTGAGGTCCTCGGTGGGTGGGGAGGGTTCTCCACTGATGTTCTTCCAGACTATTCCAGGCCTAGGATGTAGTTGATGCCTTGCACCAGGCCAATGATGACAGGCTGCCAGGCTACCAGGTATCGAAGCCAATCCAGCAGTTGCCCGTACATGACGTGAGGCCTCTCCCAGCTGTCAGCATGTTAAAGAAAAGAGGCTACAAGTAAGAGCTACTGAGGTTGATCAAGCATGGGGGAAGGGGGTTTCCCTAGGTCCTCCCTGGGTCTGCTCCATAGTCTAGAGGAAAGAAAGCTGCTTTCTGGAAGGGCCCACCCAGCCTCTCTTCAGTTCTCCATGTTGGAAGAGCTGAACCCAGAGAATGGGGGAAGGAGGGCAGAAAGGACTGGTGTGGGAGACAGGCCAGACAAGAGAGAGGGGTGGAGAAGTGTATCTTAGTACTCCATGACCAACATGCAGGGAGGGCCTCCCATGTAACACTGTCTCTAAGATGGGACTGTCAGTGTGAGAAAACACAGCCTGAGGCTGCCACAAATGTATGTGACAATGGCTGCAAGGAGGCTGGGAGTGGGACAGGGTAACCCCAAAGGCTCTTCTAATGTCCAAAACTGAAGGTTTTCTAGGTCAAGGAAGGGGCTGAGTCTAGGAACAGAACCAGAAGGGAACAGGGACCAATAGGCTAGTCATAAGAGGATAACCCCTGGCAGTGGCTCTAAAGAAAGCCCCATCTGGGGGCACTAAGCACCAGGCCCTACTGAGGCCAAGCAGCCCTGGAGATGAGTTCCTTTCCTTTTGCTTTACTTATTTATTTCTTTGTGGGGGAGACAGGGTCTCACTCTCTCACCCAGTTGGAGTCCAGTGGCATCATCATAGCTCACTGCAACCTTGAAATCCTAGGCTCAAGCAATCCTCCTGCCTCAGCCCCCTAATTAGCTAGGACTACAGGCATGCACCACCACGCCTGGCTAGTTTTTTTATTTTTTGTAGAAATGGGAGTCTCGCTATGTTGCTCAGGCTGGTCTCAAACTCCTGATCTCAAGTGATCCTCCCGCCTCAGCCTCCCAAAGTGCTGCTATTACAGGCATTGGCCACTGCTGGTGACTTTCACTTTACTGTCCTTGCTTTACATCTAAATGCTGGGCAAGGGATCTGGAGAGGCGGCCTGGAAGTCCAGCTCTGGAGGAAGCACAGGCAGAAGTTCATGAAACTGTGGGGGAACTCTTCCAAAGGCATCAGAAAGATCAGTTTGGGGCTGGGCACAGTGGCTCACGCCTGTAATCCCAACACTCTGGGAGGCTGAGCAGGAGGACTGCTTGAGCTCAGCAGTTCGAGACCAGCCTCAGCAAGAGTGAGACCCTGTCTCTACTAAAAATAGAAAAAAAATTAGCTGGGCAACTAAAAATAGAAAAAATTAGCTGGGCGTGGTGGTGCATGCCTATAGCCCCAACTACTCAGGAGGCTGAGGCGGGAGGATCACCTGAGCCCAGGAATTTGAGGTTGCTGTGAGCTAGGGTGACACCATGGCACTGTAGCCCGGGCGACAGAGAGAGATTCTATTTCCAAAAAAGAAAAAAAAAAATCAGTTTGGCTCAGAGCTAAGGGAAGTCCCAAGCCTCAGCTTGGCTATGGAGTTATTTAGTTGTTCCTGAACCGGGCCCTGGAAGAACCAAGCAGGGAACTTGAGAGGGGATAGGCCAGTCTCCTGTTTAGTGACCACAGGAGTGTGCTAGGAACTAGGCCATGCAAGTGTTCTTGGCAGAACCCAGCTAGTTTATAACGGAAAAGAAACAGGGAGGGAATCGTGGAGCAGAAAGAAAGGGTAGCTGGGAGAGGAGAGGGAAGAAAGCTGGGTCCCTGGGCCCCAGGGGAACTGGAGGTGGGGCCAAAGAAGTGGTTGGGCACTTTCCAAAAGACAGGCTGTAAGGAAGAGGAGGGTGAGGGCAAAGCAGGGAGGGCTGGCTGGGTTGGAAGTGGTAGCTCAGAGGAGCACAGGTCCTGCATGGAGAGTGGATGGGTACAGGGGTCCCCAGCTATCCCTGCACTGGCACAGAGCTGGTCTCTAGCGCTGCACATCATAGGAAAGGTACCAGTCACTAGTTATGTAACCTTAACCAAGTTACTCAACCTCTAAACCATTTCATTTGTAAAATGAAGATAATATTATCCAGATCATAAAGTTGCTAGAGAATCAAATGAGCTAATACAAGTAAAGCACTTATCGCAGTGTCAGGCACACAGTGAGC